CTATAAACTAAAATGTCTCCACAATTTCATTTCAGCCTTTCAGGTCTCTTGCTTTAATTGCTTATAAACTGAAACTTTAGGGTAGAATAAAATAACAAGCCAAAGTGGCATCAATACGTATGGAGAGTTGAGATGTGAAATTGAGACTGGTCTCTTACTTGAAATGCTTACAAACTAAAACTTCAAGGCAGATTAAAGTAACAAGCCAAAGTGACATCAATAGGTATGCAGGTTGAGATGTGAAAACAAGAATTGGAACCCACCCTCTCCATATAGGCCAAAAACTTTGTGCAACCAATAGATTTTCAAATATTAGCCAATAAAATAAACATGGTGTGATGTAAGGAAAAACAATTTAACACCCTTTAGTTCCTGAAATTGCAGAAAAATTATAGACAGCAATTACACTCCAACAAGGAGAAGAAAGAAATAATTTCTCATTAACGTCTCAAGCTGACCAATTCGACATCAAATATTAGAGTCCCTAGTGTTGAGCCTTCGCCATTGGCAAGACGCGTTGGATTGAAAATAGTAGTAAACAGCCTCTGCCTGTCAAAAAACTGCAAAAAAGCCAGAAAAAAAACAGATTTAAGACCAACACAATCAACTACACCCCCAATCTAAAATCCATAATAAGATACCAAGGCTTGAATCGTCCTATGGCAATGGAACTACACCTCGACGTTTGCATAACATTTGTCGACAAAATACGAAAATACCTTCGTAAAAAACTACTCTTTTGAAGAGAAATACTGAACATTTATAAAAAAATTTGAGAGCTCAAGAGTCAGATTCAACTACATCCTGTCCAACTGAATCACTACAATAACCACAATACCAGAAAATGGCAAAACAATCCTATAATCACAATTTAGCATGTCGTGGTTGACCTCCAACTCTGCAATAAGTGAATTTAATAGTGAACCTAATTCAAATCATTCTGTATAACTGCACTCTCTCTCTTCTCTCTCATGCACACACCCACCCACACATACACACGTAGGATACAAAATAACCCCATGGGTGGCAAACATGTCCTATAGGAAATATACAATTTATTGCCTCCTTTCTTTCGTTTGCATCTTCTACAGTCCAATATGTTGGATTCTTGATTACCTATGAGTGCACATCCTATTAGCAATGACACAGTCAGAGCTCGTAGAAGATAAAAATCTTAGGAATCCATGGTTCAAGATATCGGCCGAGTCGTATCCGACTCGGCCCCCTCCGATACGATAACGGTACACGTTACGCAAAAATCACAAGTCTCACCTGAATCGGTTGTGACTCGGTTACAACTCGGTGGAATCGGCTTGACTCGGAGTAATATCGGTGTGACTCGGAATAATATCGGCGTAACCCGGCCGAGTCATACCAGACTCGGACAAATATGATAAAATTCTTCCAAAATTGAAAGACAAAAATGCAAAAAAAGACCAAAGTAGAGAAGAAAGAGGGATAAGAAATCAAGCAAAAAATGAGACTCAGATTTGCAGAAGGCATACCTTAAAATTGAAGGCATAATTGTCTTTCTTCTAATTTTTTCATTCGCACAACAAGCTTTGTTCTTCCCTTTCTTCTTCTTCTTCGCAGCAAAGACCCAACATCACGATCGAAAATCAATTGTAGAAACCCTAGGTTGCTCGACCAACATCATTGATCGCGATCACAGTCGAAGTCTCGAACAGCCCTGACTCCCTCTGTTCCTCTCTCTTCATCTCTGCAGTCGAAGTCCTGATCGCGATCGCTCGCTCGCCTCTCGTCTATTGCCAGAGAGTATCACCTCTCTCTCTCTCGCGTCTGAGAGTATCAAACCGACAAAGCCAAGCCCAATGTCACCCAATTCATTAAACACTATTTGACTGTGATTAATTTAATTTACTTATTGTGAGTAATTTATTAAAGTGTGGGTAATTTATTTTACTTCGAATGGTTAATTTATTAACATAGTGTGGTTAATTTATTTTATTTGTGACTAATTAGTTTTTGGGTTCACTTTTTGCCCAAGTTTAATTAGATTAAATTTACTATTTAATAAATCATTAAAATATTTAATGTAATAGTTAGATATTTAGATTATTTATTTTTTAAATAAATATTTGAAGTATTCTATTTTAAATCAAATGCTAAATTATTAATCTTATGGTGGAAATTATCCTAATTTGTATTATCCTAGAGACAATAATAATGATGATATTTCTTAAGTGCTTACCTTAAACATTCATAATAATAATTATTTTCGGTAGCGTCTTTATATTTCATTTTTATTATTTTTAATGTGTTTTTGGATATATTGTAGACATATAATGCATGAATGAGGATGCTTATATTTTTTAGAATTTATCATAATTTTTTTAAATTTTTTTGGAGCTTCTATCTAACATTTTGAGGATATCGGCTGATACCGTACCGCGACGCCGCGACCGATGTGTATCAGTGTCCTCCGATTTGATGATCGATACCGCGACTTTGAACCATGTAGGAATCAATGTATCAGCAAAACAACAATATAATAGCTCCTCTTAATTTGACACATAGCTTTCATGAGGAGTCCACAATGCTGCTGTACCAACTCACACAAGGTCAATATGTTGGCACATTGGAATGCAATCATTCTATATTTTCGATTTTGCGAGTCATAGAAAATTGGAGGTGAAATCCAACATTTTCAAACTTGTAGACAGATTCAGTTCAGGAAATCTCGCTCAATCTCTTCTCCATTATTGTTTTTATGTCTCCCTTAGGTTATACCCTTTTCTTTCTCTTCTGCAATTCTTCCCTAACACCTCTTGCTTTTTCCAACTCTGCTCCTCATCTTTTTGTGGAGCCATCAAAGCACAACAAATATGGGTCTTAATGTATTTTAGATTTTTCATTGTCGAACTAAATAGTTAATACATCTTACAACAAAATGACAATTCAGATTCAGCTCAAGGGAATAGTATCTTCGCCATCTACAAATAGGCAGCATTGTGGTGCACTAGAGGCAAACCTCATCTCAGCTTTATCAGCAAAGCCATCTCCAACGTTTGGTCTGGCTACATGACTCCTATTATTGCCATTTGGCTTTATGTGAAACGTCAGTTTCAATTCAATGGTATGCTGTAATGTCCTAATTTGCAACCTCAACTCTTCATCTAAACCCCAACAGCCTTTCTCATCGATGCAACTATTTGTCTTTGTCACAATATCAACCTCTTGTTTGGTCTTTGCACATTGTGAAACCATTTTGATTGGTTCTTTATCACCTTAGCCCTAACTGACACCAAATCTGATAGTAGAAACTGGATAAGTTTTTCTATTTGTATGTAAATCTCAAAACCACTCTTCCTGAACGGTATTTTCTTTATTCAAACCTGATAAATAAAAAATTAGAAGATCCAATCAAAAGAAGAAAAAACTGAGCACATACATTAGGTGGTATGGGTTCTTGGGACATGTTCTGATATCCTTGGGATGGTGGAATGATGACTCGTCGAATGCCACCTACTTTCATTGCCTTCACTGCTGCTTCAATCCCTGATATGACCTGCAGTGGCACAGACATAATATCCAGATACCTTAGATTTCTTTATAGATAGATAGATTAATAAGGAAAGAACAATTTCTACTAAAACTTGAGCAAAGAATTCAATGGTGAATATGTGAAGAATGAAAATGATAACAAGACAATAGGCATTGACCTTGGCGTCCTAGTCATTTCAACTCATGCCACACATGTCCTCTCATTAATCACACTTCACTACTGGTTAGTCTCACTAAACCTGACAGTGTGATGTAGGAGAAACTATGAAATGGGGCATGAGCATCTCACAATCTTCTTTACAACAACAATAACAATGAAAACTCGGGTACACGGGGGATGCAGCAGATGCAAGGCTGTTTCAGGACCTATGGTCCTTCATAATACAAAACAAAACCGGCATTCTTTGCCTTTATTTTAACAATCAGCAACTTTGGGAGTATAGTGAGAAGTGTACTTAATATGCAACTATACCAAACATATTTCCCCTCTGCAACACCGACTCAATAAAGTTTGGATCCAACTAAATAAGGCTATTTACAAAAAATAATTTTTCCCCATTCACCACCATGGTCTAAGGTCGCGGTATCTAGTCATACGACCTAAAAGAAAATGTTGAACATGACGAGGGATTCAGATCATACCGTGGCATCACGGAATCGTATTGACCGATTCTGTGATGACAACTTGGTTGAGTCGTGCGAGACTCGGGATTTATACGTATGTTGTGATGGTATCGTCTCAGCAAGTGCCGAGTTGTATACGACTTCGCCGACTCGTATCCGTCTTAGCTGATATGAATCAACTTGACTTGACGTAATCCTTTATTTAGGGTGAAGGTGATGGGCTGCAAAANGAGACTCAGATTTGCAGAAGGCATACCTTAAAATTGAAGGCATAATTGTCTTTCTTCTAATTTTTTCATTCGCACAACAAGCTTTGTTCTTCCCTTTCTTCTNTATTTATTTGTGGTGAAATTTGAGCCTAATTTCTTCCTATTTAGGTAACGGGTCAATCGTGCTCTGATTGCTTTTTGCTATGGCTGCTTGACTTTGTGTTGGTTGGATTTGAAGTATTNGCAGAAGGCATACCTTAAAATTGAAGGCATAATTGTCTTTCTTCTAATTTTTTCATTCGCACAACAAGTTTTGTTCTTCCCTTTCTTCTTCTTCTTCGCAGCAAAGACCCAACATCACGATCGAAAATCAATTGTAGAAACCCTAGGTTGCTCGACCAACATCATTGATCGCGATCACAGTCGAAGTCTCGAACAGCCCTGACTCCCTCTGTTCCTCTCTCTTCATCTCTGCAGTCGAAGTCCTGATCGCGATCGCTCGCTCGCCTCTCGTNCCAACTCTGCTCCTCATCTTTTTGTGGAGCCATCAAAGCACAACAAATATGGGTCTTAATGTATTTTAGATTTTTCATTGTCGAACTAAATAGTTAATACATCTTACAACAAAATGACAATTCAGATTCAGCTCAAGGGAATAGTATCTTCGCCATCTACAAATAGGCAGCATTGTGGTGCACTAGAGGCAAACCTCATCTCAGCTTTATCAGCAAAGCCATCTCCAACGTTTGGTCTGGCTACATGACTCCTATTATTGCCATTTGGCTTTATGTGAAACGTCAGTTTCAATTCAATGGTATGCTGTAATGTCCTAATTTGCAACCTCAACTCTTCATCTAAACCCCAACAGCCTTTCTCATCGATGCAACTATTTGTCTTTGTCACAATATCAACCTCTTGTTTGGTCTTTGCACATTGTGAAACCATTTTGATTGGTTCTTTATCACCTTAGCCCTAACTGACACCAAATCTGATAGTAGAAACTGGATAAGTTTTTCTATTTGTATGTAAATCTCAAAACCACTCTTCCTGAACGGTATTTTCTTTATTCAAACCTGATAAATAAAAAATTAGAAGATCCAATCAAAAGAAGAAAAAACTGAGCACATACATTAGGTGGTATGGGTTCTTGGGACATGTTCTGATATCCTTGGGATGGTGGAATGATGACTCGTCGAATGCCACCTACTTTCATTGACTTCACTGCTGCTTCAATCCCTGATATGACCTGCAGTGGCACAGACATAATATCCAGATACCTTAGATTTCTTTATAGATAGATAGATTAATAAGGAAAGAACAATTTCTACTAAAACTTGAGCAAAGAATTCAATGGTGAATATGTGAAGAATGAAAATGATAACAAGACAATAGGCATTGACCTTGGCGTCCTAGTCATTTCAACTCATGCCACACATGTCCTCTCATTAATCACACTTCACTACTGGTTAGTCTCACTAAACCTGACAGTGTGATGTAGGAGAAACTATGAAATGGGGCATGAGCATCTCACAATCTTCTTTACAACAACAATAACAATGAAAACTCGGGTACACGGGGGATGCAGCAGATGCAAGGCTGTTTCAGGACCTATGGTCCTTCATAATACAAAACAAAACCGGCATTCTTTGCCTTTATTTTAACAATCAGCAACTTTGGGAGTATAGTGAGAAGTGTACTTAATATGCAACTATACCAAACATATTTCCCCTCTGCAACACCGACTCAATAAAGTTTGGATCCAACTAAATAAGGCTATTTACAAAAAATAATTTTTCCCCATTCACCACCATGGTCTAAGGTCGCGGTATCTAGTCATACGACCTAAAAGAAAATGTTGAACATGACGAAGGATTCAGATCATACCGTGGCATCACGGAATCGTATTGACCGATTCTGTGATGACAACTTGGTTGAGTCGTGCGAGACTCGGGATTTATACGTATGTTGTGATGGTATCGTCTCAGCAAGTGCCGAGTTGTATACGACTTCGCCGACTCGTATCCGTCTTAGCTGATATAAATCAACTTGACTTGACGTAATCCTTTATTTAGGGTGAAGGTGATGGGCTGCAAAAGAGGAAGTCAACCTCTCCGTTACACCCTATCAATAACTTCCAACCCGAATCAAATCAATATTAGATCACAAGTCCTTGCTGAAATTATCAAAAGACTTTACCAGCTGGACTAGCTGGCTCATTTGCCCTATCATTTATGGGGTCCTAGGAAATTGGTTCTCAACACCTCATTCCATGTTTTTGAGATGCTTCAAATTCCCATGACTGGCATGATAAAAGGGTAATACCCCACCATTTACTATAATATCCATACTCTCTTGTAATTTCTATAATATCAGTTACTATAAATAAGAGTGTAAGACATTGCCTACAGAACTAANCTCGCTCGCCTCTCGTCTATTGCCAGAGAGTATCACCTCTCTCTCTCTCGCGTCTGAGAGTATCAAACCGACAAAGCCAAGCCCAATGTCACCCAATTCATTAAACACTATTTGACTGTGATTAATTTAATTTACTTATTGTGAGTAATTTATTAAAGTGTGGGTAATTTATTTNAACATTGCCTACAGAACTAATTATTCCTCTATCTCTTTCTCTTTCTCTTTCTTCCTCTTTTCTTATTTCCTTCGTAAACCCTAATATCAATTTTATCATCCAACTTGCTATTAGATCAGTTTTATTTTAGCAAATAATCACAAGAACAACACTGTAAAAACAATCAGGAGGAATTCACGCTGACATCANATTGCCTACAGAACTAATTATTCCTCTATCTCTTTCTCTTTCTCTTTCTTCCTCTTTTCTTATTTCCTTCATAAACCCTAATATCAATTTTATCATCCAACTTGCTATTAGATCAGTTTTATTTTAGCAAATAATCACAAGAACAACACTGTAAAAACAATCAGGAGGAATTCANTCGAATGGTTAATTTATTAACATAGTGTGGTTAATTTATTTTATTTGTGACTAATTAGTTTTTGGGTTCACTTTTTGCCCAAGTTTAATTAGANAGCAAATAATCACAAGAACAACACTGTAAAAACAATCAGGAGGAATTCACGCTGACATCATGACCAAAAAAGTGATGTCAACAATTTTTCGAAAATTTTTTTGGCGATTTCAACCATCACCAGGCTCGACTTTGTACCCTGATAATTAAGGTATTTTTTTAAAAATTTGTTGAGGTCATTCGAAAAGTGTTTCCTATTTTTGAAAGATTTTCAAAAAATTAAAGAGATTTTCTCAAANCACTCGCTCGCCTCTCGTTTATTGCCAGAGAGTTTCACTTCTCTCTCTCTCGTGTCTGAGAGTATCAAACCGACAAAGCCAAGCCCAATGTCACCCAATTCATTAAACACTATTTGACTGTGATTAATTTGTTAACTAAAATATGATTAATTTAATTTACTTATTGTGAGTAATTTATTAAACTGTGGGTAATTTATTTTACTTCAAATGGTTAATTTATTAACATAGTGTGGTTAATTTATTTTATTTGTGACTAATTAGTNAATCTGTTGATTTGGGCAATTTGTGGTGATTTGTTGTCTAGATCCAACTTGGGTGTGCCAATTAGGCATAAGAAGGAGTATCCCAAAGTGCCCAGCTCTATTTGGTTGTTTTATACATGTTTTTGTGCCCAAACATGCCGATTGTGATTTTTCTTTTACTGAATGGCGTGCCAACAACACTGTTTACTTGAATTTGAACGTATTTTAGTTGTGGTTTGACCTCTGTGTTAGATTTTGAGGCCGTTTGGTATGCGATTCATTATTCTGTTTGTTTGCGTCTTCGATACGACAGTGTGTTTTTTCTTATTTGTGGTGAAATTTGAGCCTAATTTCTTCCTATTTAGGTGACGGGTCAATCGTGCTCTGATTGCTTTTTGCTATGGCTGCTTGACTTTGTGTTGGTTGGATTTGAAGTATTGTGTTGAGTTATAATTAATTTGTAGATTTCTCAATGGCACCTTTGAATGGAGGTCGTGATCCGCCCTATAATGTTAGTCGTGGAGGTCCATACACAGGACATAGTGGATATGGTGATCGTTCTAGTTATGGTCATCGTTTTGAGTGAAAAGTGTACTTATTATGGTGGTACTGGTCATACACTGAGCTATTGTTAGGCTAACTATGGGAGATTAGCATATGTTAATTAGGCTTTTAATGATACTTCAGGTTCTATAGTACATCACACTTCTACTAACTGTCTAGTTGCATCTCCTCGTGGCTCTCGTGATGACCTTTCTTTTCAGCTTAGTCAGCTCATTCAACAGTTATCTTCACATTTATCTGTCGCTACCATTGGTCTTGCTAATAGAGGCAACTCTGCATCTGTGGTTATTCAACCGTCTTTGTTTGGATCATTGATTTAGGAGCTAGTACTCATATGTTTGATATTTCTTCCCTATTCTCTAATTTTCGTTCATCTAACTCACGTATTATGTTAGCTGATGGTTCTTTTCAACCAAGTACATGGGATTGATCATCTTCGTCCCACTCAATCTATGTCATTAACCTCTGATTTATTTGTTCCTAATTTTTCCTACAACTTGTTATCTGCGAGTTAATTAACTAAGTCCTTACAATGTTCAGTAACATTTTCTGCATGTTCTTGTGTTTTTTGGGACCTTATGACGAAGAAGGTGATTGATGTGGGGCATGAGCACAACAGCTTTTAGTACTTAGATCCTGGTGGTTCTGTTCCTGCTTGACTGCTATGATGTCTCCTCTTCAGTGACACTTCTGACTAGGTTATCCCTCCTTGCAAAAGTTGCGTCAAGTTATTCCTACTTGGAGTTCTTCTTAGGTGTTAGAACGTGAGGCTTGTCAATTAGACAAGCAATACCGTTGTTCCTTTCCCCTAGTTCGTCAAGTCATCATTTCATTCCGTTCTATATTGTTTATACAGACATTTGGGGTCTTACAAGAGTCAAAAGCACTTCTAATTTTCAGTATTTTGTTATCCTTGTTGATAATGACTCTCTTATGGCTTGGTTATTTCTTATAAAAGACTGATTTGAGTTACTCACGGTCTTTACAACCTTTATAATGAAATTCTGACTCAGTTTGATGGTTGTATTAAAGTACTTCAGTCTGACAATGCTCTTGAGTATCCTCAATCATTTATGAAATTCTTTTGTGCTGACCGTGACATTATCCATCAAATCACTATCCTCGTACCTCTTAACAAAATGGTATTACTGAATGTAAGTATCGTCATTTGTTAGATGTTGCCCTCACCTTGATGTTTAACATGCATGTGCTAAATTTATATTGGGATGATGTTGTTCTTACTTCAATTTATCTTAGTAATAGAATGCCTTCTTCCATTTTGGATAATAAATTTCTTTCTAGTTGCTTTATTCTAATAAGCTATCATTTGGTCTCACTCCTCATTTTTTGATTGTGTTGAATTTGTTCATCTCCTTGTTTTAGGTAGGGNAGCTGTCATTTGGTTTCACTCCTCATTTTTTGATTGTGTTGAATTTGTTCATCTCCTTGTTTTAGGTAGGGATAAACTATCACCTTACTCGATTAAGTGTCTTTTTGGAATATTCTCGTACCTAGAAAGATTATCACTCTATTAGTCCATAAACCTGTTTCTCGTTAATACTATGTTAGTTGTGATGTTACCTTCTTTGAGACATCTTCCTTCTTTTCTGTGTCAGGCAATACACTTTTCCTAAATTTAGTCTTTTCAAGTCAGGGGAGCTCTTCCTATTTTCCAGACTATGTATATACTCTCCTTGAGTCCTATTCCTCTTTTGTAGGTTTATCATCATTCTAAGGACATACAGGTTGTTCCATATGCTCTAGCTCCATAGCCAATTAACCATCTCACTTGATTCTATCAAGGTCCTACCCCTTGAGCCATCAGCTAGTTCATCATCTTCTGATTTACCTATTGCATTGAGGAAAGGTACCCGTAATTGTACAAAGTATCCGATTTCTAATTTTGTTTCTTTGCATCAGCTTTCAACATCCTTTCGTTGTTTTGCATTGACTCTGTCTTCTATATTTGTTCTTAATTCTTTGACACCAGCATTGGTATCTCTCAAAAGGAAACTAGCTATGGATGAAGTAATGAAAGCCCTTAATGACAATTAGACATAGGACCTTACTACTCTTCATTCTGGTCAACATGTCAATTGTCGTTAGGTCTATATAGTGAAGTATCATTCTAATGGTTCAGTTGAGCATTTGAAGGTTGTCTGATTGCTAAAGACTACACCCACATATGGTGTAGATTACTGTGAGACTTCTTCTCTTGCTACCTATCTTGACTTTGTTAGAGTTCTTATTTTGGTTACAGTGAATTGTGATNTGTTGCCTATTTTCCAGACTATGTATATACTCTCCTTGAGTCCTATTCCTCTTTTGCAGGTTTATCATCATTCTAAGGACATACAGGTTGTTCCATATGCTCTAGCCCCATAGCCAATTAACCATCTCACTTGATTCTATCAAGGTCCTACCCCTTTAGCCA